TCCCCATGAGCTCTGTTTACAGCATTCTAGGCTTTGTTGAAACCTCTAGTAACTTTTCCAGATTCTTCCCATAAACCCATTCCTAAGGCCCCAAATAGTCATAGCAATGACCTAGTTCTCTGGTAGAGTGTGTGTGTGTGTGTGTGTGTGTGTGTGTGTGTGTGTGTGTGTTAGACTTTTCGTCCTGTGACAAATACCAGATGGTTTAAAGGAGGCAAGACGGGCTTGAGTTGATGGTTTCTGTCTGCGGCACAGCCCAGGGTTGGTTGGTTCTGTGTCTCTGGGTCTGTCAGGGGCAGAGCATCCCCATGGAAGGGCGCGGAAGAGCACAGTTGCTCACCTAAGAGTGAGAGGGACAGAAAGGTGAGGGAGTTACCATGCCCATCTCTTGGGGACCTGCTTCCTTCAACCAGGCTCCCTGCAAATGCCATCAAATTATGAGTCTGTGAATGGATGAATCCATTGCCTGGGTCAGAGCCGTGAAGATACAGTCATGGCTCCACCCTTGAGGACCAAGCCTTTTTGGGGTGTATTTATATTGATATGTCAATGTTTTACTATTGGACCAAGAATAGATGTGGACTCACGCAGAACCACCATGTTTTTGGTAACCTCACAGGTCTTTCCCTAAGGTTGATCTTTGTGTCCTGCTATGCTAGGAAGAGCTGGGCTCTGACAGCCGTATCTGTGTCAGGCTCTGCAGCCGTATGTGTCAGGGTTACCCCATTACTCAAGTATCCACAGCTGTTTGGCCATAGGCGACCACCTGACTCAGTAAGTACACACACGCACACACACACACACACAGAGAGAGGCAGCCAGTGGTGCAGTGGCTGCCCTGGCTTATAAGAATGGATGGTACACACCTCTTCCCATTTACACATTCAGGAGTGTTGGTGAGTTGCAGTCAACTATGATGCATTCCTATGTCTGCCAGTGTGGAGGCCAAAGGCTAACCCTGAGAGCCACTCTTCAGGCTCTGCCCACTTTCTTAGTTTTTCTTTTTCTTTTTCTTTTCTTTTCTTTCTTTTTTTTTTTTTTTTTGAGTCAGGCTCTCTCACTTCCCTGAGGCTCACTGACAAGACTGGCTGGCCAGCAGCACAGGAATCCGCCTCTCTTTGCCTCTGCAGCTCTGGAATGCCTGCCGTGCACCACACTCGGCTTTTTTATATATGTTCTAAGGATCAAACTCAGGTCCGTATGCTTGCACAGGAAGTGTTTGACCCTCTGAGCCATCTTCTATCTTCTTTTGTTGTTGTTGTTGATGTTGTTTTTTTGAGACAGGGTTTCTCTGTGTAGCTTTTGGAACTTGCTCTGCAAACCAGGCTGACCTCAGACTCAGAGATCTGTCTGCCTCTGCCTCCCGAGTGCTGGGATTGAAGGCGTGCGCCACCACTGGGCTATCTCCTGTCTTCTTGAAGAGCCAGTTACTAAGTATTTACCAGCAAATCATTGTATGACGCTGCCTCTCTCGTCAGCGTCTCCACTCCATGTATCAGGAAGTAGTTAGTTAGGAGATGGGAGGCAACTGAACTGGAAGACCCTAGAGTCTAGGTGCTGGAGTGGCTGTGTTCCGCCAGACTCAAGCAGAAGACAAAGGAGGCAGAAAATGTAGAAATAGCCAGAGGAGACTAGAACAGTGGTCCTGAGACTTTCAGTCTTCAATCTCTTGCCATATTTCATTTCCTGTTCTGGCCTTCAGGAATTTAGGCTGCTAGTAGTGTGACAATGAGTTAGTTACTTGTGCCCGATTGCATCTGTGTCAAGTGAAATCGGTAATAGTAACCACTTAGTAGGGTGGATGTAAGGTGACCGATGGCAACTGACAGGTGTGAGGTGCCTGAACCTGTACCCGCACGTAGCATCAATAGACCTGTGTGTAAGTCTGGACCTTGCTAGCATTTTGGCCTACCTCTCCTGGTCCCTAGACAGCTGGAGCTGTCGGGGAGTTTCTGGGCAGCACCTGTACAGCAGTGGGTACCTGAGCCACACCTGGATTTTGTCTGTAGCACTGATGCTCATGGAATTGAGATTCCGATTTTTGTCTCCTCCCTTGGGAATGTGTGGGCAAGTCCTGTAGACCCAAGGACAGTGGTGGCGGCCATGGAAGTCTCTGTGGAAGTGAGGTTTTCCTTCCCTCCTGCTCCCAAGAAGACACCGTCCTATTCCACCCTGCAGTTTCTTGCATCCTCTCTCGCTGCTCCTCAGAGGGTCTCCCTCAGCAGCACATGGCCGCCCAGAGCATGGGTCTTGGAAATCCTGGCTCATGGCCCTTACTCCCCTATAAACCTGGAATCCTCTGTTCTTAGGAGAATCCCTCACACTCTGTGACCTTGCCTGCAATGGGGACAGGCAGAGAGAGCACTAATTGTTTTCTGAAACATCATGGCAACCCTCTCCCTCGTTCCCCCACCGTAAGGAGGACTCCTGGTTTCCCCATGTTTCCTGTGAGTAAACAACACCCATCACAGGTAAGGAACTCGTCTGCGTCACACAGAATTCATAAAAGGGAAGGTTCATAAGACATTCCTGGCTCATGGTCATCTCTCCAGTGGAGCAGAGCTTGTTAGAACTGGTGAATGTTACAGGGCAAGGCGGAGGGCGCGCATTGCCCCGTGGGAGGGAAGACTGTGCCAGCTCGTAGCCAGCACCCACCTGCCTTTAAACACACTTGGCCCATTCAGTCCCTCTTTCAGAGTTCACTGGGCTTGAAGCTGTTCACCTGGGAATCAGAAAGGATGGATTGCTCAGTGCTGGCATCGACAGCAGAACCTGATTGCAAATAGTATCAGATTGTCAAACATCATCAGGGTTGAGCCAGACAAAGAGCTGGAGTGACTGCCCTACTTGAGAGCAGTGGAGGCTGCTAAAGTACAAAGTCAGGAGGTGGAGCAAATGGCTCAGTCAGTAAAATACCTGTCACTCGTGTGTGTATGTGTGTGTGTGTGTGTGTGTGTGTGTGTGTGTGCGCGCGCGCGTGCACATGGGGACACCAGAGATTGATGTTGGGTATCTTCCTCCATTGCTTCTCAGCTTTTGAGACAGGGTCTCTCACTAATTCAACCAGGATCACCCTGTCTCTGCATGTGCCAGTATGCCTGCTGTGACATGTGTCCCTAGGATCCAGACTCAGACATTCATGCTTGCATAGCAGACAGTTAAACTGAGCTATCTCCCCCGAACCCTGTGTCTTTCTTACAAAGAATGAAAACAGTAGTACAGGCATGGATGAGGAAATCCAGTCACCATCTCCTCTTCCTCCTCCTTCCTCTTTCCTTCTTTTCCTTCCCTTTAAAAAATGTTCACTCTATAGTGGAAAATACTCGAAGCATCATTTTGAAATGACTTGTTTATTATAGTATTCCTCAAATATGCCCCAGCTATACTGCAGTCAGGGGGAGATAACACAGCAGAGCGCCTGACTGGAATGCCTGCGGTCCTTTCTCAGTGGCTAGTTCCTGAGGGGATTTGGATCGGGCAAGAGGGACTAATCTTGATCTCCTGCTGCTGACACCCCAAGAATTTGAACAGATCCTGTGTCTGAGCAGTTTTGGTCCCTCTTTGTGTCAAAAGATGCACTCAGTAAGGTCAGAGGTGAAAGGGGCCAGGAGAAGGGGATGCATCCCTTCCTGGAGCTGTGGGTAGTGTTAATCAATGCCAAAAATTTCTTAAAATTACTGCCTGTGTTAATGACAAGTTCTTCAAACCCTTATCGGAAGCATTCCCTCTAATGTTCACTGTCCTGTAAATAAGCAAAGCCATAGTGGAGAGGACAACTTGACTCCCACATTGGCAGATGCCGGACTCTCCCTCGCTGCCTAAGCAAAGTTGGCCAAACCTCCATCCAGACTACCCTCATGCCAGCACCAGCCATCTTGCACAGTCCCGGACACCTTGAGAATGCCACACAACAGTCACAGCTGGTGACCTGATCCTGAAGGCACAGCCTTAACCATGGTTATTTGAAACAGCTTCTTTGTTGTTGTCGTTGTTTCTTTGTGAACTCTAGAAGACTCCATAACCATTCCCATACAGAGAGGAGGTCTAGCAGAAGGGACTCCTGTGAGTATCGCAGAGAGGCAAGGCTGGGTTGGTTCAAGCATCTCTTTTAAGGCGATAGAACCAGACACTCAGCTGCTCTTAGTGAGCCGGCAGGGGTGGGGGTGGGGAACACGGACGACACTCTCCGGTGCTGCTTCCCTGCCACCACACTGTTAGGCCCATGAAAGGCTTCTCGTGAATGGTCTTGCCAACGTTTAAGGGTGAGGGCCGACCTAGTAACACGAAGAAAGGGACAGCATAGCAGTGGTGATGGAAGAGGCAATGACAGCCGGCTGAGTGGTCAGCAGGCCAGGCTACACTAACGACAAGGCAGCCAGCTGCTTGGGAGCTGAAGGGGAAGTGCTCAGCGGGTCAGCCAGGCAAGCTGCAGAGTGGGAAGCCGGTGCAGGAGTGGAGGAAGAGGTAGCGGACAAGAGGGGACAGAGCATAAACAAGAGGTTCAGCAGAAGAAGAGAGGACGAAGAACTGAGGGCCAAGAGAAACGGCAAGCCCTGGTCATGGCAGTGGCCTCAGACACTGAAGAAGGTTCAGTGGCTCTAACACTGGTCTCTGGCAAGGTCTGGGGAACCCTGGGACCTAGGCCCACTCAGAAGCTGTAGCATCAGCTGCTGCCAAGGGCTAAGATAGGCCTTGGGCAAAAGTTTTAATATAGAAGGCACCACTTGATGCTCCCTCCACCTGCTTGCTGCCCCACCCAACACCTGGGATAAACGAGCTGCCCAAGTAGGCTCCCGAAGAGCTTCCTCTTGCCTGTCCATAATTTGCATCTGGTTAGAGCAAAGGGGCTCTCCAGCCAGCTGATTGGTAACAGGTCTTTGAGTTTTCCAGTGTCCCCCTTCCAGAAGCACTATAACTGGGCTCTCACTGGCTTCATGGTCTTGAAACATCTTGCGAGCCCCACTCCACACCCTCTGCGCCTGGCTGGCCAGGGGAACATGCTAGTTTCGCACCAGTGCATACTCCTTGGGCTCCCAGATCAGGCGAGGGTGGTGGATATCTGTCCTCCAGCCAATTTTCGGGTCCCAGCAGAACTCAGGGGACAGCAGCTTGGTGGGCTTGTACAGCCAGAAGAACTTATTGAGGTGGCTCTCGTCGTGCCAGACCGCCTCGATGCCACGCTCACGGTCCAGCTGCTGGCCAAGCGCACAGTGGGCGGTCAGCTTACGTAGTGCCGCCACACTGCCCCCGAATAAGGCCGCGTGGTAGTAGAAGTCGCCCTCGCCCCATGACAGGGCAGCAGCTGATCGCTTGTCCCGCTCATACGGCAGCAGCCACCGCGGCCAGTGGTAGTGCCAGGAGTGCAGCTGCGCCACCAAATCGGCCAGCACCTCGGGCCCGAAGTTACCCGTAAAGCGCTGGTCTACGTCCAGGCAGAACACATAGTCAGCTTCTTGCCCCAGCTTCCCTCCCAGAGCCTCATATAGCACGCGCATGCGCGCCATGGACACGTCCTGCCAGCGGCTCTCTCTCTGCACAGGTTCCACCCGCAGCAAGCGACCCTGGCCCAGCGTCATGTAGGGCACTGCTTCGGGGCGATCAGTGAACACATAGAACACCACTCTCTGACCCACCATGAAGTGCTGCTCTGCAGATTTCAGGAAGCGTTCCAGGTATTTCTCCAGGTACCTGCCAGGCAGTCACAGGCCACGGTCAGTCCTCCCATCTCCACACCTGCCCACATCAGGCCCTACAGTCCCAGAACTCCAGCCTCGGCATGGTAGATTAAAGGGGATTGAAAGCTGTCTACCGGCTTCTGCCTGGAAGGGATGAGTTGCCCTGCCCTGTTCCCTGGTCTATTGGATTTGCTCTGACTCCTTTGACCCCAGCAGTGCTGAGGATGCTGGGCCACCCTTGGAGGACAGGAAGTGTTTTGCAGTACTCTGAGCCCTGTGGGAAGGGACCCAGGACCAGAGGCTTCTATGATGCAAGGAAGCCTGTGCTGTTTAGGTTTTTTTGTTTTGTTTTTTTGTCAACTTGACACAAGTCAGGGTCACCTGGGAAAAGGTAACTTGAATTGAGAAAATGCCACCCACCATCAGATTGTCCTGTAGGCAATGATGTGGGAGGGCCTAGCCAACTATAGGTGGGTCCAACCCTGGGCGGATAGTCCTGGGGTGTATAAGAAAGCAGGCTGAGCAAATCCATGGGGAGCAAGCCGGTAAGCAGCACTCCTCCATGGTCTCTGCTTCCGTTCTTGCCTCCCAATTCCTACCCTGACTTCTTTTCTCTGTGGACTACCTAACTGAAGTAAAATGCAATAAACCTTCTTCTCCTCCCCAGTTGTTTTTAGTCATATTTTAGTCATCACAGCAACAGAAAAGTAAATTAATATAAAGCCTAAGCCAGCCATGGAGGGAGCTTGTTTGGAGAGGCATCAGTCGGTCTTTAGTTGTTGATCTTGCCGTTGGGACTCAGACGTATCTGAGCCCTTCCTGGGAGTTCCTGAATCAATTTATTTTAAGCCATATGCTTGTGGCCATTCTTTACATGGACAAGCAGAGTGCTTGGGATACTGACAATTTGAATCCTGAATACTCAGGGACACCAACCACAAGTTCGAAGGAATAGTAATCAAACCCAATATTCTGAGCATTTGTCACGTGGCACACACTGCTAAACTCTTGTGCTGTAGCTTAAAGAGCTGTAGTCTCTTGAACAAAGATACTAGAGTTGAGCCCAGCTTGGAGTTGGGGCCAGATCCTTGCCTTGCATGTAATAGGCTGCTGGTGGACCTGTGGAAATCTGAATTCACAGGTCAGCATCTCAGAGTGTAGGATTCACAGTCCTGGAACTCAGGAAGGGGGTCCTGAAATCTCAGGTTCTGGAGCCTCTGGCCCTAGAGCATTCAGTTTGGTCCCCTTAATGGCCACAGTTTCAGAGGCTGGAGAAGCTGCTGCGGCCTAAGGGGTACAGCAGCTCTGTCCCCTTGCCCTTGGGCCAGCCCTGTGGATTCTTCAGTCACCTTGTGTTGCAATGATGCCACTGGCTTTCTTCTCCTTTATGTGGGGTTTGGGACACAGTTGGAAAAACCTTGAATAGTTTTCTGAGTCATCTAGTGGCCCAGAATTCTTTGCCCAGATTTTTTGGTTTTTCTTCCTGGGTGGGCATTCTATTTTATCCCACGGGAGGCTGGCCCACTCCTGATCTATCCTGCACTTCGCTGCTCTGTGAGTTAGGGTTGTAGGTCTGAATCCACACCCAGGAGGAATCCCCTTTGCTTCACTTTGGAAAGTGGTCACCACCCGGGACTCTTCCTCCCGCCCACAATGGGAGGGCAGTGCCCTGCCTTTGGTCTCGTCTATCTACCTAGCTCCTTCTACACCTGAGGCCCATCATTTGTAAGCCTCACCGGTGATGACTTTGTCCTTCTCAGTTACCTGCTTTGTGGCTACCCCCTTGACATGGTCACCGTCAATGTCTTACTTCACTATGTGAGACCCTCATTCATCCAGCTCTCTTACCCTCATCTGTCACCTGTTGGCATACCCTCATCTGTCACCTGTTGGCAGGCAGGCCTACCTCACTCAGTTCTGAGACCCGGCAATTGTCAATTCTGTCACTCTCCAACTCCACCCACCCTCAGAGCCTTCTTTGCTTAGCCTGGAGTCACCCCACAGTAAATCCCTGAGCCCCCAGTGCTTCTCCCTAGACCAGGGTTCCCTGGAAAAGCCTCACTACTCTGTTTTGTTTGTTTTGTTTTGTTGAGACAGGGTTCCCCTGTGTTGCTTTGGAGCCTGTCCTAGCTCTTTTTTTTTGTTTGTTTTGTTTTTTTTTTTTTTGTTTTTTGTTTTTTGTTTTTCGAGACAGGGTTTCTCTGTGTAGCTTTGGAGCCTATCCTGGCACTCGCTCTGGAGACCAGGCTGGCCTCCAACTCACAGAGATCCACCTGCCTCTGCCTCCCGAGTGCTGGGATTAAAGGCGTGCGCCACCAACGCCTGGCATGTCCTAGTTCTTGTAGACCAAGCTGGTCTCGAACTCACAGAGATCCACCTGCCTCTGCCTCTGCTAGCCCCCTTGTTCCCTCATTAGCTTGAAAAAGTCTTTTATATCCTCACTACAAACCCAGTGTCTCCGTTTGTGCCAGACCTATCCTCAGGCATATATATTCCTTTTTAGTAGTTCTGATCACTGGCTACTGGGCTACTGGACTCTGCCATTGCTGTCCAGGGAGAAGAGGACAGGAGAACGTGCCTCTGTATTCCCCTGAGAGTCTGAAACAATGGTTGCAGCCTGTAACTGCACTAGGAGTTTCTATGGCATGGAACAAGGCTCCATGAATCCCCATCCATCTGCACACCGTCCTGTTCACTACCTAGAAGCATGGTCTCTTCCCTGGGTCTTACCTGCCTACAGCAAAGACAGTCAGTCCAATGGTGAGGTTCCGCCGTCTCACCTCTTGCTTGGCTACATGTGGGTCAAAGGTGCTATCCCAAATAATTGGTGCTCCCCAAGAAGTACAGGTCGGGACTTCAGACCGGGCCCTGGTCATGAGCAGGAGTAAGAAAGACAGTTCTGTTCATCCAGCTATTTGACACCTGCTCATTTCCACTTTCCCGTTGCTAGATACTAGACTTCTTCCTATGGACCTCTGGCTTAGAACCAACCACAGACTGGGTGATATGTGACCTGATAGAGACACTGGCTTCCCAAAGACAGAATGCCTGGGTGTGGGTGAGAAGAGGACTGAGACCTGGGGCAGACCTGTATAGTTTGTGGACATTCTGAGTGGGAGAATGGTGGCTGCTTACCAGTGTCGCAGGACACCAGTAAACTTGTCCGTCAGCAGAGGCGTGGTGGCTATAGGGCAGATGCCCATGGGGATGGCGCCTTCTAAATACCTGTAGATGCGGTAGACAGGAAGGGACATTTGGCATGCTCCTTGTTTGGTGGGGAGAGTTCATAGAACATTTACCAGGGCTAAGCCAGCTACCACCTTCCTTCCCTGGGGTAGGGGGTGGGGTTAGAAGGATCCACTTTAACCCCGGCCCTGGGGGAGTACCTGAGAATACGGAACCCGTATAGGTACAGGGCTAAACAGCCAAATGCAGACAGGAGGGGCATCCACAGGAGTCTCTTCTTGGTCCTGGAGTGGTGGGATTGGGGGAGGGCTTCAATGACGTACTCCCACGGGAGAAATCGTTGCCTGACTTTGCTGCCTCATTTGATTTCTGAGTAGGAACCTATTACTCTAGTCACACAGCACAGAGACATTCAGAAAGAGTTCAAGGGTTTGCCTGGAGCAAAGCCTTTGCAGCTCTGCATGGAGGTGGCCAGTGGCATCAGTGTCTCCTGCATCCTTCCGGAGATGGTCTGTGCAGAGAAGACACATACAGACAGATATTCCAGCAAATGTCCCTTCTTCCGCTGACGCCCCCACAGATGGTAGGTAGCATAGTGGGCAGTCCTTCCTACCCTTGCAGGTTTTGCTGACTATTGTATCTTTCTGCTACCACTGAGCTGCCCTGCTACCTCACCTCAGTACTTAAAGAAGCTCCCACCCTCTTCCCCAGCTGCCCCGGGATCTAAGGAGCACTGAGTCTGGACCACTGCTTTGGACGGCAGTGTGACAGGGTGTATGTGAGTTGGGCAGCCTTGGAGGATAGTAGCGTTCAGGTTTGCTACTATCCTGAGGCTGATCTTGTTCGGGGAAAAGTCCAAGAAGAGAGAGGAGTTTGTGGTTTAGTATATGGGAATAGGGAGCATGTCAGTGGTGGCCGGTTCTCCCTGGGCTTGTATTCCCCTCACCAAGCTCACAGGTCCTGGCTTGGAGAGAGTGGGCAGTGGGATTTGTCCATGGTTTGTTGTCTTCTATAAGAGCCCCATAGTAAAAAACAGATATGGGGACCAGGTGCCTGTCTGGAACTCTGGGTGTCATCATTTATTAGCAACACTGGGCCTCTGGACATCAGTCTTCATTTGTGAGGTGGAGGAATGAGAATAGCATGGTGAGGCTGAACCAATGTCAGCCAGATGATGGAACTCACTGAACTTCAGCAGCTAGGGGCACACGCTGATAAGGCTTCCTGATGATGGCCTCTTATTTCTTCTGCTAATCTCATATCTCCACTCCCTGCCTGCCCTACAATTTCCTCACTAGTTTCTAAGCTCTCTTTCAGGAAGGCCACCTATATCAGAGTCCCTTATCTCTTGGACCCGCTCCACACCTCCTGAGTCTCTGCTTTGCTCAATGAACCAGCCTTGCTCTTAGGCAGATGTAGGTACCCTCTTAGCACAGAGTGCCTAGGGATGACTAAGCCAGAAACCTGCATGCAGCCCTCCCCTCCCTCCCCCATGCTCGCTCCAGCTCACTGGATCACTTGCTCACTTACCGTGGTAGTCCCCAGGTTGGCTTCCCTTGGCCTCTTTGTCTCTGTCCTTCCTGTTTTCTGAAGCCTCCATGTGACCCCAGTGCCCCCAGCCCCCTCAGAGGCATCTCCTAAAAGACCAGCTTCCCTTACCAGGGTTTGTGGCACCAACAGCTAAATCCTCAAAGGGAAAAAAACTCATTTAGTAGGCAAATACATGGAAAAATATCTGCCCTCACTAGTAGGCAAAGACATACAAATTAGAACCCACTGGCAGATTTTGTTTATAAAATGATCCCCACCAAAAAGAAAGAAAGAAAGAAAGAAAGAAAGAAAGAAAGAAAGAAAGAAAAAAAAAAGCCATGATGAAAATAGCAAGGCTGCCAGCATACAGGGTGAGAAGGGGCTCCTGGCTTGCTCTGGAGTCCTAGCATTTTGGAGAGCTGCTTAGCTTTCCGTACTTGTCCCTTGTGGGTTGACAGTCCCAAGTCAAGATGCTCCTTAGTGTCTGCTTGGCTGTTATCTTGGCATATATTGGTCACAGTGTGGACCAAGCTTTGGGCCAGGTCCAAGGCTTTCCAGGACTTTCTGGAAGAGTGGCCCTCTAAACCCAGCTTCAGAGAACTAGAAGCTATTTAGACAGGGATGTAGGGGAAGGCCAGCCTCTAATAAGAAAATACCAGTGCACCCTAGGAACGCCCATTAAGGAAAGGTTTGTTGTAGGGGTGAGGGGGTGGTGTTGGCAGAACTTCATTTGGAAAAAAAAAGTGGAAGTACTCAGGTAGAAAGTTGAAGCTAGACATGGTGGCTGGTGGGAGGGCTTGACTAGACACAAGAAACCAGTCAGGGACCAGGAGTCACTGGGGGTGAGGCAGAGCACTGGCGGCTGAGTGGGGAAGAATAGAGTGGAGGGCAGGATGTGGCCATTGATGATAGAGATGTCTGGAGTTGGATCTAGGAGTATTTGTATCTAAGGGCCAAACTGTATGTCTGGTTGGGGTAAAGCCTGGGGCTCACCACAGAGTTCTGGGGTTCACCAGGAGGGCAGGAGTGTCATGGGAGAGAGCACAGAGGTGGGGGAGGACAGCCCAGACATTGAGGGCTGGGTGGGTGGGTGTCAGGTGAAGGGGTGGAGCTGATGCAAGAAGGATCTTGTATAAAAGGTCCTGGAGGGCATGGGAGACTTCCCTAAGTCTGGGCTATAAAAGGTAGATAAATAGGTTTACAGTTGATGGACACACAGTTTTCTTTGACAGTTGTCACCACACCCAGTTAGCATCAGGCTTTAGTGAGTTTTGGGTCAGTTAAGGTCTTCTATAAGCTGCACTGATTTTTAAATGAAGGAATAAAGAACCCTCTGGCTAACTGCAAGATCAAGTCCACATCTCTTAGCAGGGCTGCAGGAGCCTGGGAAACCCAGGCTGTGGCTGTGGTGCACATCAGTGTCACCTTCACTCCCTTCCTGTCTCTGGGTCTCTAGTCCATACAGTAGACAGTCCTAGGATCTAACACAAAGCGGTGGCTGGTGGAATGGTGGCCGTGCTTGCTGGCAAGCCTGACTGATGACGAGTACGGTGCCCAGGACCCACATAGAAGGGGATGGGACACTTGACTGCAGGCTGTCTGCTGACCTCCAAATAGACACTTCTAGGACACTCATGCAGACACAAAGATACATATATAATACAGATTTTTATTTTAAAGGAATAAGTCTTAAAAAAAAAAAAGAAAGAAAAGAAAAAGGAAATGTGCATTTGCAGGGAGGCAGCGGACTAAGGAGAGGAGGGGCATGGAAATGAGTTTGTTATGACAGGCCTGCCTGAGAGTGCCATAGTGAAACCTGACGTTTTGTAAGTTAGCTAACAAAACTAAAAAAACTAATAGAAAGCGATAGAAAGGCCGGGCGGTAGTGGCGCATGCCTTTAATTGCAGCACTCAGGAGGCAGAGGCAGGCGGATCTCTGTGCGTTCGAGACCAGCCTGGTCTACAAGAGTGAGTTCCAGGACAGGTTCCAAAGCTACACAGGGAAACCCTGTCTTGAAAAACAAAGGAACAAACAAAAAAGTGATAGAAAGAAAAAAAGATGGACATAAGCAAGCCCAACAGGGGTTGGTGAATGTACTATGTGTGTCTAATAGCAGAGGTCAGTGTGGCCGGTGAGAAGCATAAGGGAACTGGTAAACACTGGAACAGACAAGACCAGAACTCCATGGAGAGGCAGGCCTCCCTTCCATGGGGGAGCCTCTCTCCCAGTGTGTCCATGTGCTAACAGGCATGGCATCCACAAGAGCTGCCTTAGTGTCTATTGGGGAATGCTAGACGAGCAAACCCCCCTAGGATTAAATGTGATCCACACAGGAGACTTCATATTTTACAGTAGCAAAGTTTAAAAAAGTGAAACAGGTGAAATTAATTTTTAACAACATTTTGATTTATGCTAACATATCTAAAATGTCCTTTTAATATGTAACCAGTATGAAAATTGACATTTCCTTGCCTATTTTTTCTAAGTCTAAATACTAAATCTAATTTCTAATTTTGACTTAACATAGCTCAGTAGCTGCATGTTGCTGCTGGCTGTTAACTATGGATTATATAGGTGGACTTATAGGGGGTGAGGGAGCGGCGCACCAGATTGGTGATGTCATTGAAAAGTTCCAGGGAGAGAGGAAGGGCCTTGTTTGTGACTCAATGCCCTTCAGTTGTGTCCACCCTGCACAATGAGGCTCCACCCTTTGCTGACTGGTGTGTACCATCTGTAATGTCGCACTGTGTTTCCAGTGCTCTGGCTGAGCAATGGCCACAGGTATCTTGTATCCCTTAGATTGCTGTGTCTGCCCAGATGTCCCCACAAGCTTTAAACTCACAGCATCTCAATCTGCAGTCTGAGTGGTCCTGCCAGGCCCATCCATCCCTTTTTCCTTTGTGTTCCTATGGCCTTAGAACCCCTTTATCCCTTAACAATGGCTGTCACCAGGCTCCCCTCCTGCCCCCTCCACCTGCTCCATCCTCTCTGCTTTATTGTTTTACAGCTGGATTTGTGTAGCAATTTCCCAGTCAGGGTTCCACCCTTCAGCCCTGACCTGAAGTTTCCTGGGTTTACCATAGCTCACTGGAATTGTCACCCCGTCTTTGCCAGGCCACTCTCCCCACCTTCTGTCACTCACTTGTTTTCCAGCTCCTTGGCATCTGGTCCCTGGTCCTACATCTCTGCCTTCACCAACCCACCCACCTCCAGCCCTTGCTTAACCCCTGTCTGTCCTAGGAACTCTTCATTGCCCTGGTAGACTTTGGAGTTTTGGTTCCAAGTCCCAGAACCTGCTTCATAATTGGTGTTGTTAACAATCATTTGCTAGAAATGAATGACGTAATGAATTGTGGCTGTAACTTCACTTTCTTTCCCCAGCTCACCATTACTCCTTTGCTTAAAACTCCATTTGCCCAAGGAGTTAAGTCTGTGCTCATTCCTAATCCTGGGCACTGATGGGGCCAGACACTGCAGAGAACACTCCCAGGTCTTGGTGAAGTCTGACCACAGTACCCCGAGAGGAACCTGGATTGCTCCCATCCCATCAGTGAGGAGACTGAGTCTCAAGTAAACCATTCACTCAGGAATGATAAAGAGTTTGGGGCTGGGGGCTGGAGAAATGGCTCAGAGGTTAAGAGCACTGGCTGTTCTTCCAGAGGTCCTGAGTTCAATTCCCAGCAACCACATGGTGGCTCAGAACCATCCATTATGAGATCTGGTGCCCTCATCTGATGTGCAGATATACATAGAAGCAGAATGTTGTATACATGATAAATAAATAAAATCTTAAGAAAAAAGAAAGAGTTGGGGCTATCCCAAAGGATACAATATACTCTGATGACACCCTATGGAAGGCCTCACCATCCAGGGGGAGCAGAAAGGATATGTGATAGGTAGGGTTTTAGCTCCTCTCTTTCCTGCTGTTCCCCTGGGGCAGACAGGACTTTTCCTGTCTCTCTTTTCTGTCCTCACTATCTTTTTACCTCTTTTCTCCTCCCCCTTCTAATAAAACTTCTCACTTAAGCTGTCTGCCTGGCATGTTTGTCCCTCTGCCTCTGTCACCCTTACCTGCCATGGAAGCCTCTGAGGTTGCTTGTTATTCTTAACACTTGTTCTTGGAGCCACATTTTCCCCCAGCAATTCTACCACCTGACTGAGCTCCGGTTGGGTCAGTCAGCCTGGGGCTTATACTTGTACTTCCCACCTGGTGGGCACTGAACCCACTCACCTGAGTCCCTTGAGAGCCATTGGGGAAGCCAGTTGTCATGCAATCTTTTCATCCCAGAGAGGTGGAACGAAGGGCACATGCAGTAAAAGTGACAAGGTCTCTCTCTATATATATATATAGGCACAAAGCAGGTCCTTCCTGCCTCCTAAACCACACCCCCAAAAGCAATCTGGGTTAGATTGCCAATAAATTCAGGAACTCTGAAGTGAGGTTACCACAGATCCTAGGGTGGGGATGGGGTTGGCAAGCCCTTTGGGGCCAATCATTTATTAGAGTGGAATGAAGCAGACCTAACCCAGTGGAGAACCTGAGGCAAGTGTAGGGGCTTCTCTTTCCTCCCTTGTGTCTTATTTCTGGGAGGGTCTAGAGTCAGGTCTTGCATTCCCACCCAGATGTCCTGTATGGCACTCACTACAAGCTTAAGCTGAAAAGCACTGGGCACTGTGACTTTGAGCAACTTTACTCCTTGTAGTCTCCTTTGCCTCCCCAGTAACATGGGGTGCACATACCTGTCCCCAGGTTAAGAGTCATATAAGATCTTGGCTGTGTAGCTTACACTGGCCCTATTTCTTTTTTCAAGACAGGGTTTCTCTATGGAGCCCTGGCTGTCTAGGAACTTACTCTGTAGACCAGGCTGGTCTTGAACAGAGATCTGCCTGCCTCTACTTACTGAGCGCTGGGATTCAAGAAGTGTGCCACTATGCCTGACAGAAATTTTTCCTTTGTGTTCCTATGGCCCTAGAACCCCTTTATCCCTTAACAATGGCTGTCCCCAGGCTCCCCTCCTGCCCCCTCCACCTGCTACATCCTCTCTGCTTTACTGTTTTACAGCTGGATTTGTGTAGCAATTTCCCAGTGAGTCATAACCAAAT